GCTCGGCTCTCTGGTGTTCATGTTTGCGCTTTCCTGGCGTCTTTCGCTGGTCACATTTATCGCTGTACCAATTGTTGCTTTTTTAACAAAAGTTTACGGAGCCTATTACGATGTAAGTATATCATCTTTACCATTTCATGTTTTTCTGTTTGCGCGTTTTTTCCCCACTGAGCAGGGAGTCTGGGAGTATTTTTTGGCAGCTCGCCGTATCTTCGCCTTTTTTTCTTCGTTGTGCTCTTTTTTTTATTCAGTCCCGATATGGTTTGGGAATATCAGCGAATGCTTTTTAGAGTTTTTCTTTTCTCATACAATATCACTTTTCAAGCAGATGCGAAATTAGATATCACTGAACTAACTTACATGCCAAGCACATCTGTGCAGGATCGTTTTGTTTTTTAGTCGCGTGTCTCCGTTAAACTTTCACCACTTGCGCTTTGCTGTAGTACATTCTTTTAAAAAATATTGGAATAATTTTTTTTCTTTTGTTTGTTTTGCACCTTATAAAAAAACGATATCCATCTTGTGAAGGGGAACAATATGTCCTTTTCTCTTACGGTAATGCACATTGCTATTTTGACTGGGAGAGTAAAATATAACTAGCGATTTACCTCCGCTTGCAGAATTTATCGGAGCGAACGCAGTCGACACTGGCGGTGGCCAATCATGTGGCTGAAGAAGTGATGAGCACCATGCGAACAGTGCGCTCGTTTGCTTGCGAAAAAAGAGAAGCTGCTCGATTTCGGCAGCAACTCGATGAAGCACTCAAAATTTACAAGAAAAAAGCAATAGCCTATATGGGCTACACTTGGACTAACGAATTCTGTGATAACGCTATACTGGTTGCAGTATTATTTTACGGGGGACATCTCGTCTTATCAGGTACTCCCTCTGATTTTTTATCCGAATTATCGTGAAAAGTGTAGTCGAGAAAGTAGCAGAACAAATGGGTAGATTTCGATTAAGGCTTGGCTGTTCATGATAGGGCTTAATTCAAAACTTGAACGGCATTTTCTTCTTTGACATCATTTACTGATATCTTCTGAGGGCCAGTGAGAAGCTTCGATGTTAGTGATGTTAGGTGTAAATGCAAAACGCGTTCTGTTTTTATGCCGAAATTCGGCCGTAATTTCAAAATTTCCTTCCTGTTTGATTTACTAGGTAGTAATTCAGCCTCATGACACTCTTTTTCCTATGCCCATTAATTTCAGATAACATGACGGCCGACAATTTGATATCCTTTCTGTTATATCAGTTGCAACTTGGCGAGAATCTGTATGTGAGTTCATCCCTCGTTTACATATATATTTTTCACCCATCGTTTGAATTTTACCATTGCTAAAGTATTTTTTTAACTGTCGTGTCCGAATCAGACTACCAGCAACACTTATCCAGTTAGTTCGTTTAGTCGGAAAAATTCAAATCTACCGAGATTTCTCATTGTCCAAGCTCGGTCTCTGTTCGTATCGGATGTTGCTTCCACACTCTCTTGAGCCACTTAGATTTATTTTTTGTACAGATTTGCAAAAGATATCAGTGGCGTAATATCAAACGGATAGCTGCTGCTGCTGCACGGTGAAATCCTGGCAAATCAGTTGTATTTTGTGGCAGGAAAGAGTCTGTTGCCCTTGATTCATCTTTCCAGTGGCATGTTTGGCTAACATGTTTGTGGCTCGAACGACCTTCGTTTTGCATTTTAACTCGTCCTGGGTTTAAAACCACTTCCGCATAAGCGCTGTCGGCGGTTCGGATAGTAATGCCAACAGCATGCACCCTCTAGTGGTGTCGGTGGCTTCCTCTTTCGAGGTCTGCATATAAAATAAGCCGAGGCAGGCTTGACTTCTTGACATATACCAATACGAATTTACCGTCGAAACTGATGGACGAATGTAGAGAGATTGATTTTTCCACTGACAGAGCCTCCGTATGTGCGCTAAGCAGAAAAGCCGGCTTTGGCATTCCCTTGATGCTGAAGGCTTTCTTTCCGATCATATCAAACTCATTTTGAATATTTTTAGAAACCTCTCATTTCTCCCCTCTTTCAGAATATTGGCTATGTTTTCACAGGTCTCATGGAAAGTGTTGGTGCGTCGCGCAAAGTTTTTGAATATATGCTGAGAAGTCCACGAGTAACAAATGCTGGAACGCGAAGGACGCCAGTCCGGGGAGAACTGAAATTTGACTCAGTCTCGTTCACGTATCCTTCTCGTCCAAACAATCCAGTATTGCAGGTATAAAGATTTTTTTTGAATATTTACTACTACTCGTTTCACAACTGGTGAGAGGAACGAGGGGCTGGTTTTTCTGAGAAATTTTTATACATAATGGGACCACTTTTAGTGAGTGAACGTTGCAGTGATTAGGTTTATTTGTGTGGCTCCAGACATGCTCTTGGACTGAAATATTTGTTCGTTATCATTTGCAGTATTTTCTTTAAGGGAAGGGGGAACGTAAAGAGGGTAAAAGGGAAGCGCTTCCTGTATCTTTAATATCAAAAAGCTAAGTAGTTTACAGGTTTTTAAGATTTTTTAAGCGTTGAGTACACTGAGCAAACTAGATTAGTGTGTGGTTGTAAAGTGGCTATGGTTTTTACATTAGATTTGGAACCACAGTGAATTAAAAAATTAGAGTTTTTTGTTAATTTTTCTTAAAAAGTGTGCAGCCCTTGCGTATGCGAGTGTTTTGAATATTATTCGGAGATGAATTGAAACTGAGGTAAATTTGGGTATAAAGAAAACTTGCTGAACTGGTCTTAAAACGACAGATTAAATTTTCCATGTGTTTTTATTTAAGAATACCTCTCTCGCGAAATATTCCCGTTAGGCTGGGAGATTAATAAATTCTGTCCCATATCCCTGTTCCACATGATAGATTCCGGCTCCCATATCCTTGCCAGTTAAGATCATTGCTGATTTTTTGTGGTTCTTATACCTATTGTTATGGCTGAACGTGCTCTGGATTCGAAGCATGCTCAGGGATGTCGAATCGTCCTGTAGAAATTTGAACAGTTTCTGAAATAAGTGATAAGTTCTGCGAAAAAAGCATGACAGAAATTGCAGAAAGGAAAACAGAACAAATAGCAGCAGCACAGTGAGTGTTATTTGGTTCGTTTTAGGATGTTAGCTTTGTGATTCATCCTGGTGAGACTGTCGCATTGGTAGGACCGAGTGGTGGTGGAAAATCCTCCATTGTTTCACTGATTGAACATTTCTACGAATGCAACAGTGGCCAGGTGCTCATTGATGACTGTCCTGTAGCCGAGTATGATCACGAGTACATTCATCAAAAGGTTTGCTTTTTTTTTGTTCCATGTTAGTCACGCGAATGTTTGCAGTACCACTTTTACAAAGCTATGATTTTGTTGCGGGTAAAGTTCATTGTTGGCCTTTGGGTGACTTTAAATAATGTTTCAAATTAGGAAGGTTTAACTCAGCAGAAGAGGGCAGGGTACAGATACGTGCAGCGCGTGATTGCACTTCATAGTTGCCGATAGTTCGGTATTCATTGTCCATTCCGTCCGTGTTGGTTTCATCGATGCTATTTAACAAATATTGCAAATAACGAGTAATGTTGCTGTTATAAAGATCGGGGACTTGTTGTCTTCGAAACATACCCTTCCACGTTTTGTACATTTATTTTGAAAGCAGATTGGTGCTGTTATATGTTGAAAATCTTGCTTCTAAGCAACTTCCGGAATAGAAGCCATCGACAGCCTTGCCAGCAGCAGTGTGTGGTTACTGTTGACACGTGATACCACTTATACTACTTCTGAGTATCTACTTCTGCCACAGCTTGCATGGGAAGGAGAACGGGGGAGAGGGGGAAGGGATGGGATTCGTCTTTGAATCACAGTGGAAAGACTGAATTCTTAAATTAGTCACGCTGTTCATCTCGTTCGATTCTTTTAAAACTGTAAAGAATATGAAATTTCTTAACTTGTAGTTGCTTCCTGTTTTATGGCACTATGATTGCAGAGATGACTGTTGAGGATGACGGACATAATGCTTGACATCGATTTTAGATAGCTTTGGTTGCACAGGAACCTGTGCTATACGATGGTTCGGCGCGTT